GGCCCGGGGCTGCCCCCTAGACACAAACCCTATCAGCAGAGACTGTCTCCTTCTCCCTGCTGCTGCTGCTGCTAAGGGGGAAGAGCAGCAGCAGCACAAAGACCCCCGCGATAGTTTAGTTGTTTCTTATACTGATATTTTAATGGGGCTTGATGAAGCAGCAGGCGACACAGAAGTACCTAGCAGCAGCAGCAGCAGCAGCAGCAGCAGCAGCAGCAGCAGCAGCAGCAGCAAGGGTATGTTTGTGTTGGTGGATGTACGCTCGCCGGAGAGGTTCTGGGGTTTAGCTGCTGAGCCCCGCGAGGGTTTATACGGCGGCCACATTCCTTTGTCTCTGAACCTGCCCTTCACTTCTCTGCTGCAGCCGCATGCATTCTTCCCCAGCAGCAGCAGCAGCAGCAGCAGCAGCAGCAGCAGCAGCAGCGGGGGGGGGCCCACGAGTTATCTCTGCCCGTTCAGTACATCAGCAGCAGCACCGCCATTTGGGTTTACTACCCTCAAGGGGGGCCCCTCTCTGCTGCTGGCTCTGGGGCCCCTCCTCAGCCGCGCCAATGTTAAGGGGGTACAGAAGCAGATGAAGGCCTTTCACACAGCAGCAGCAGCAGCAGCAGCAGCAGCAGCAAGAGCAGCAGCAGCAGCAGCAGCAGCAGCAGCAGCAGCTCTATCCGCATCTAGATTTTTCTCAGGCTAAACGGGTTGTGTGTACTTGCGGCAGCGGGGTCACAGCTTGTATACTTTTCTGTGCCCTTGTCAAGGTAAGCTGCTGCTGCTGCTNAGCTGCTGCTGCTGCTTTTGGTTTGACTTTCCTCTCACTGCCGCTGTTTTGGTTGCTGCTGCAGCTGCTCGCAATGCAGCACCGCTGTTCTAGCTGCTCTTGTGTCTGCTGCTGCTGTTATTTTTGCTGCTGCTGCTGCTGCTGCTGATGCTGTTGCTGCTGCTGCAGATAGGGTACCCACTATCACTGCTCTCCGTCTACGACGGGTCCTGGGCTGAGTGGGCCCAGCGGCGGCAAATGGAGGCCCCCCTGGGGGGCCCCCATGGGGCCCCCTACCCCACGCTTGTGCTGCCCCCGCCGACGCAGCAGCAGCAGGAGGCCCTTCGCGCAGCAGTGAAGGCGAGGCAGGTAAAGGAAAAGACAGCTTGAGGGCCCCCACAGCTCACCTGGGGCCCCTCTGGGGCCCCTCTGGGGCCCCTCTGGGGCCCCTCTGGGGGCCCCCTGGGGCCCCCCTGGGTTCTTTTTTCTTCTCTGTATATACAGTGTAAAGTCTTAGTGTACACATGATAGCCCCTAGAGCGACTCGCGGGGCCCCCCGCCAACAGCAGGTCTCTACACAGTATTCAGCAGGCCAGTGGGGGGCCCTGGGGGCCCCCCTTAAGTTCCCTAGAGGCCCTGCAAGGGGCCCCACAGGGGCCCCATAGGGGCCCCACAAGAGCCTCATAGGGGCCCCACAGGGGCCCCGGAGGGACCCCATAGGGGCCCTAGAGGGGCCCCATAGGGGCCCCATAGGGGCCCCATAGGGGCCCTAGAGAAGCACCGTAGGGGCCCCAGGGGGGCCCCATAGAGGCCCCAGAGGGGCCCCAGAGGGCCCTAGGTGTGGGGCCCTTTGAAGCGGCTTTGCTATGCTTTCCTGGGGCCCCCCTACAATACCTTAGGGGGCCCCCGTTTAGCCCATGGGGGCCCCTATCATACGGGGGGGCCCCTCTTAGTACAGCGCAGCGCGTAGGAAGCTCAGGCGAGCAGGGACCGCTAGGGGGCCCCCAAGGTTCTTAAGAGGCCCCTGGGGGCCCCCAAGACTCCTAAGGGGCCCCTGGGGGGCCCCCAGCACTACTGTACAGAATTTCAGGGGTACTTAAGGGGCCCCCACAAGGCTTGATGAGGCCCCTATAGAACTCTTAGGGGGCCCCTCTCAGACGAGGGGGCCCCCCTCTCATGCAGAGAGAACTCGCAGTGCTACCAGCATACCTAATAAGGGCACAGACCCAGCGGCCCCCAGGGGCCCCCAGGGGCCCCAGAAGCCTTTGTTATGATACAACACTAGAGTTAAAAGTACAGCTGTTGCTGCTGTTGTTTCTGCTGCTGCTCTTGTTTCTGTTGCTGCAGCGACGGCAGTAACAGCAGCAGCAACAGCAGCAGCAGCAACAGCCGCAGCAGCAACAGCAGCAGCAGCAACAGCAGCAGCAGGAACAAGCAGCAGCAGCAACAGCGGGCATTTCAAGCCCCGTTCTGTGTCTCAAGTGGCGAGACCTCAGCAGCAAAATACGTCTACACTTCTACAACAGCTGTTGCTGTTCCTGCTGCTCCTGCTGCTGCTGCTGCTGCTGCTGCTGCTGCTGCTGCTNTGAGCCCAGAGCGAGTCGAACGCCCAACCTTCTGATCTGGAGTCAGACGCGCTACCATTGCGCCATAGGCCCGCGCTGCCGCTGCTGCTGCAGCAGCAGCAGCAGCTGCTGCTGCTGCTGCTGCTGCTGCAGGGAGAGAGAAGGCTCACCCTTGATCTATCTATGGAGGCAGCAGGCAGCTACTTACTAAGCTGCTGCTACTACAGAGACATAAACAAGACTCCTGGGGGGCCCCCTGGGGCCCCCACAGCTCCCGCTGCTGTATCTACAGCTGCTGTTGCTGCTGCTGCAGCTACTGTGAGCCTTCGTTGTCTTTGTCTTAGTGTTAAAAGTTATAATTTACCTTCATTAGTTCTTTTATTTTCCCGCTGCTGCTGCTGCTGCTGCTGCTGCTGCTGCTGCTGCTGCAGCTA